AGGCCAATATGCTCAAGGCTCACAAGCCAAAACACAAAGAGAGGACACCAAACATGGCAAGCATGACTGAAACAAATGGCCAACAGACCTTGAACATGATGAAATAATGCCAATATCTCCATGAAATTAGGCTAACACATGCAAGAATCATGGTCTAAACACAAGATACAATTTTAGGCCAAATGGAGGAATGTAAAGCAAGTATATTAAGCATGCAAATGGGTACAAATCTGGCCAAAAAAAAAGATCACATTTTCCCTAAAAAAACCCAAAAACCCCCCTTTTGCCAACTTTTAAAAAAAAAAAAAAAAAAAAAAAAAAAATAGCCTGCACGCTGGACAGTGTAGGCTGTGCCTACACTGTCACAGCCGGCAATTGTTCCATCAACAGCTGAATTACCGTTTTACCCCTTAGCCTACAATTAAAAAATTATAATTGTAGGGACAAAATGGTCATTTTAATTACAAACATCTTTTCAACACTTTTTTTAATACACCAACTCAAATAAAAATTTAACCCAACTTCCCAAACACAAAACTAAAATAACTTACTAAAATAGCCAAAAAGCCAAATAGCCTACTAAAATAGCCACTTCCCAAACGAGGCCATAGTTTATAGTTTTTTTGAAGTTAGAAATCAGCTTATTCTTTGAGTGGGACTAGAGATGCTTAATTTATAAGTCAGAAATCAGCTTATGTTCATAGTTATAAGTTATAAGCTGTTTAGGCATAAGTTATAAGCACTTTCCCACAGCTCTACCAAACAGGGCTCTAGAGTAGGATACGTGACGTCTCAGAATTAATTAATAATTTCTTTTACACAATTTTATAATTATTTATTAAGAATTTATTGAGGAATCAATAGTTTAAATTTAGGAATAACTTGTCTCTATTTAAAATTTCAACTGAATTAGACAGTTAAAATATCTTATTGGTAAGAGTCATTAAACGAAATACGTTTATCGATAAAATTTTTTGAAAAAATGTAATTGAATCATAGACTTTTACTAATAAGAAACTTCCGTTTAATGATTTTTACCAGTAAGATATCTTTGTTTAATGATTCTTACCGATAAGAAATTTCAACTGTGTGATTCAATTTAACTGGAAAAAACTAAATTCTTAAATTTATTTCAATCATGAATCATACATTTTATCAATTTAATCTCTAATACATATAACTCATTTTAGGTAAATTCTGGACCCTAACTTTTTTGCAAAATAAAATGCCAAGGGTGAAGTTCTCCGCTGGTTCATAGGGACACATGTTGCTGCTTTTTCATAGGTAAAAACCTTAATCTCACAATCAATGTCTTGAATTGTACCATACCTTCGTGTTATGACATTTAAAATATTTAATTATGATATATTATAATATTAGTTATGACTTATTATAATATTAGTTATAGCATTATTTTGATTTTAATTTAAAAGGAATTTAGTTATACTTATGAAGTGTTCAATTATGATTATTTTTTTTAATTAAGACTTTAATATTGTATTTGATTCATGGATTTGGATAGAAATTTAGAAGAAAAATGAAAAAAGTGTGTGAAATATATGTAAAATATAAGTATATTTATTCCCATTTTACCTTATTTTTCTTTTCAAATCCATAAATCAAACACAACCTAAAAAATTCAATTGTAATTATTAACCCCATAAATACCATAATTTACATATAATACATACTCTTTCAGGGTTAAGGGTATGCACCATAGCATAATCCTTTATTCTATTACAATGAACTATACTATCATTTTAATTTTAGTGAAATTTCACTTTGGCTCTTATAGATTCAATTTGTTTTTCAATTTTATTACAATGTGCTCCCTGCGTTGTTAACATTTTGAACGGAAAAAAAAATCACATGCAAAGTTAGAGAAACTAAAGTGAAATTAAAAACAAACTATATTGAATTTCACTTTAGTCTCTCTAATTTTACACAGTCTTTTTTCGTTCCAAATTTTAACGATGAGTGATAAAAGGATCACATTGTAATAA